TATAATTTTACATATCCAACTTATAATAGCAACATAAAGATAAAACTAAAGAAAAATGAAATATATATGCAGACAATTGTAAATTGCTTCTGAAAGACATAAAAGAAAAACTAGAAAAGCAAGAGTCAGCATTGTAAATATATAAATTTTTACAAAGTTTAAAATATTAACACAAAACAAGTAACAAATATCAACTTTAATTGGTTTTAGTACACAATTTGACCCTAAAGCTTATTGGGAAAAATAAATAATCAAAAATAGCCAGGAAAATTTTGAAAAAGAAGAGAAATGACGAGGGTCTACAATTACAGAGTAATAAAACATATTATATAGGCATCAAAAATTAGATTAGAATAAAAAGTATAACACATAGAATCAGAAGTATAAAAAAATTTAGTATTTGACATAGGAATATTTTGGTAACCATTTGGAAAAATACAGTTGAATCCTTAACTTGCACTGTACTTAAGAATAAAGTCCAAACCTAAAGATTTCAATGAAAAAAAAAAAAAAAGAAAGAAAGAAACAGGAAAGTACTAGAAGAAAACATGGGAGAATTCTTTGCAACCTAGGGATGAGTATGGCTTATCTATTATCCAAAATCTGAAAGGCATTTAAAAAGATTGATAAATTTGACTGCATAAATATGAAAACTCATGCATGCCAAATAAATTCCCAAAGACAAAAGACTTACCAAAGTGGCAACACAAATCACAAAGGGCTACTCTCCCTAATAAATAAAGTCCCCATATAAATTAATAAGAAAAGGACCAAAAAAAAAAAAAAAAAGAGCAAAGGATATAAGCATAAAGTTCATGGAAAGGAAATACAAATGGCTCTGACACAAAAAGATGCTCAATTTACTCATAATAAAGAGAAATGTACATAATATTTACAATGAGATACATTTTTCATGGATCAGACTGGCAAACCTCAAAAGTTTTATAATATTCAGTTGGCAATATTGAGAGGAAATAGGCATATTGCTCCTGAGGGAGTATAAGTTGGTATAACTTTCATAGAGGGTAATCTGGCAACATTCATCATTAGTACACATATGTCCTTTTACCTAGCAATCCCACTTTTGGGACTTTATCCCTCAGACATAATCTTCACATGTGCAAAATGGTACATGTGTATGCGATGACATTATTGAAGAATTGTTTGTAATTGAAAAAAATATTGGAAACAACTCCAAAGTTCATTAAATGAGGACAGATAAATAAATTATGATATATTCCTACTATGTGCTTGCTATATACACTATACAAATGTTTTTTAAAAAAGTAAGTATAAGTAGGATCTCTACTACAGCATTATGCAAAAATTTCCAAGCTATATCAGTTTAAAAAGCAATATACAGAATAGTGTATATGATATGCATAAGAAAAAAGATAGATTAAAGTAAGATTCTATATTCGTATGTTTGTATATTTATAAAGAAATTCTGGAAGAATACATAAGAAACTAATAATTGCATTTACCTGTGTATCTGGAGGGGTTGAGAGTTGAGCGAATGGGAACATGTTTAAATTATATGTTTAATTTCATATGCAAGAATTAAATTTAGAATATATCATATTTGTCACATTTTATCTATCATGTTTTATACTTATAGCTGGAAGGTTTTCATTTTACTTAGGTCTGCATTTTCAGAACTAGAAATCCCTATAAAAATATTTTTTTGAAGTAAAGGCTATTAGAAAAATAAATTAAAGAGATATAATTTGAATTGGCATTTCTAAATAAAAAGCAACAATATATTTTTATATAGGAATTAATTTATCATTTTAACCACAAATATTCTATCCTTTCTGCTTACTAAAACAATTTTATTATTTAAATACTAACTATTTTTCAGAATACAGTAGCTTTCAAAAGAGAAAATTTTCTTTAGTGAATTAAAGAACAAAAAAGTCTGAGCTCCCTCTGCTGGCTGTGAAATAGCATATCAAGGTGTATTTTGTTTTTACTAGGAAACTGGCACATGATTCATGCTATTAATTCAGTTTGCCAATATTAAAGAGAATAGTTTTAAATTGTGTTTTCCAGAATTCTGTAAAAGTTAAATTGTGCTAACATGCCACTATTCTTAGCAAGTAAGACTAGCATTTCAATATAAATGTTAAAGTTTTATTCAATATGTGCCTGAACCATTTGGTATAGCCCTAAATATAGTATCACATAAGTGTGCTGTAAAGGAAAAATTTCTACATGCACCACAATATGTGCAGGAGGATGGAGGATTTCAGTTTTTAAATTTATTATGGCTTTCAAATTGCAGTAATCATAAAACCTAAATGTTGTGTTAGTATATTTTGATTTAATTGATTAAAAATACCGTATGCTTACTTTGAATCCAAGAGGAATGTAAAATGTTTGCATAGTTAAGCAATATCTTATATAATTCTGAGTATCTATAAATAGTGTTTTATTTTTTGTCATGACTTCATAATCTATGATATACTGATTTATGATGTACTCTGCAAAATTTCAAGCTTTTGTTTTCTTACTTTGATATCTATTTTTATCTTCCAGATCACTGATTTGTGTCTCAGTGGTGATCATCCCATCCTTCTATTTAACAAATTCCTTAACTTTTTTGTGCTGTATTAAATCTCCTTAAGGATGGCTGTCTTAAGAAAAGACAATTCAAGCTTTTATCTCTCTTTTGTAAGTTCTACTTTTCCCTTGTTTATTCTGACTGATATGCCTCTCTCAAACTGCTAGTGCTTCTAATATAAGATATTATTTTTCTTGGTTGGTTCATGAACCTAATTCTGAGTGTTAAAATACTGGGAACTCCACATGTGGTGGAAGGCAAAGGTGTTTCAAGTCAGTGGTATGCAGAAACCAGTTGTTACCAGCCTGTGAACTGATCGTTAATTTTCCAAGAATTTTGCATGCTAGTTATTAAACACAAACTTTACCAAAACCTAACTTATATAAACTTAAAATTACATTACTTATATTAAAAACAATGCAATAAATACTCAAAACTCCTCATTTCCTAATTATTTTCCTTCATTTTATTATTATTAATATTTATGCTCCTCAGGGAATTTACATCTATTGTAGCTGTATGGTGAAATATAGTAAGTATAATGGTGTGCTACTGTGAATCTCTTTCCAACTCTGCATTCTATGACATCATATTGGTAACTTGAAATTGGCTATGGTGGGAACATTCACACCATGGAAACTGGCAAACACTACAAGGCTAGGCTTGATTTACTGTTTTGTTGATTGTCCAGACATAAGAAAGTAATGCAGAAAATGTTACAGATACAATCATCTGGGAAAAATAAACTAAAATATTTTGTGAAAACCAACTGGCTAAATGGAGTTTACAATAAAAAGTATTGTATATTTTATTGATATTTGTAAATTGTTTGCTACACATTCTTTTTTATCAATAGTTATATATCCTTTTATTTTGTTTTCTAGAAAGCCAGGTGTTAAACATTAACCAGCACACCACTACAGTCTCTACTCCTGAAGTACAGGCAGGCAAGCAGTCAATTCTCTGTGAGGCTCCTGGAAGTTACTGACATACTTGCCCAGCCTCAAAGGTAGTGCTATGGTTTTAAAATATGTCCATGAATTCTTTGATACACCTCTTATCTAAAGGCAGGGCCTAATTTTCCTCCCCCTGAATGTGGGCTGCATCTAATGACTCTAGTGAATAGAATGTGGTAGAAGTAACTGTGTTAGACTTCCAAGACTAATACATAAAAGACTTTGTGGTCTCTGACTTGCTTTCTCTTGGATTACTTGCTTTCTCTTGGATTACTTGCTTTGGTGGAAGCCAGTGACCATGTAATGAGGACACCCAAACATCTATGAAGAGGCTTATGTGGTGTGGAACTGGGGACTCCTGCCAACTGTTACTTTCAAAGTAGCTTCTCCAGCTCCAGGCAAGGCTTCAAATGACTGTGGCCCCAGCAGATACCTTAACTGCAACTTCACAAGAGACCTTGAGCCAAACTTCTCAACAAAATACTTCTGAATTCCTGATACACAGAAACTATGATATAATACATCTTTGTTGCTTTAAGTGGCTAAGTTTTAGAGGAATTTATTACATGGTAATAGATAACTAATATAAGCAGGGAAGACTCATTATGGCCATTAAACTTCTTGAAGTTTCAGGAGTCAGTGAGACCTAAGAATCTCCTTACACTGCCAGTACCAAGTTTGCGAAGGGAGGGTGTCTGTCCAGAGATCTCTGAAAACTAAAGTCTGCTCAGGATTCAGGTGCTCAGAAGCCATCAATATCACTGTTCCTCACTTTTTTTGCTTAGTTTATGGGGGAGCAAGTCCTAGACCAATTCCCTGTACCAGGGTCCTCAACAGAGCTCATGGTCTCACTTTCTCCTAACTTCCTATAGGCCTTGGCAAGGATTTGGCTCAAGGGAGACAAATGTTTTGGGAGTTGGAAGAGAGGGAAAGGAAGTTATACCTAAGTTGTCATGTTTCAAGTATCTCCTGCATGGTTTACATTTAAAAAAGAGAGTAATCTTATATTATTGCCAAAAAATAAAACAAAAAATAAAATTTAGTTGAAAATATTTTAAATGCATATAGTATATGAGAAAATGATGGAACAACAAATCTCATGTAATAATTTGTTTTCTTTTCAGTTTAAATATTTTTCATAAACAAAGTATAAATAATGGCCAACATTTCTTTTATTAATGCGTTTGGACTATCAAATAACCTTTTAAAACATTTTTTCCAACTTTAAATTTACAGAAAAAAATAAAAATATTTACAGACCAATATATATAAAGTGAAAAATGACCAAATTCCTTGTGTAGTCTGCCTCTTATACCTAGCAAATCATAATTACCCAAATGTCCACAGCCGTTTGTATTCATTATTTGTATCCATTATTAGAGGTATTCCTTTTTACATTTTTTGTTAATATATATTCATATTTTGTAGCCCAAGTATTGAAGAAATCAACTAATGCATAAATAATAATGTGATTTAATACCTCTATTTTGTCAGGCTAGTTTTTATTTTAGTATTTTATTTCAGCCTATTTTTAATTAAATAGTGATTGCATTCTATCAATTAACAAATCTTGGATTGAATCTGGCCTTGTATTCTAGAACAGGAAACTTGTTTCTTCAATTGCCTTCCAAGGTGACTTTGGAAAAGTCATTTCACATGTCCAGACCCCAATTTTGTCATCTGTAAATATGAAGATACTAAATGAGGTTATCCCTAAATTCCTATTCAGTTTCTATAATTTTAAACAGTTATTGAATGGAGTGCCAATTATATGCAAGGATACAAAGAAATTCAAAACTGAATTCTTATCTTGAAGCACATTAAAATTTATTTAGCAAAAATAAATTAAAATAAAGAAGTAGATAGTAAAGTGTTAAGACAGTTCAGAATAGAGAGAGGTGAACATAGGCTATATGGTTTAGGGAAATTCAGAGGAAACAGAACACAGTGTGAGTCTAAAGAATCTGAAACAAGTAGATCTACCATTTGATCTAGCAATTCCACTACTGGGCATCTACCCAAAAGATCAAAAGTCACTTTATGAAAAAGACACCTTCACTCAAATGTTTATAGCAGCACAATTCACAATTGCAAAGCTGTGGAAACAACCCAGGTGCCCATCAATTCATGAGTGGATTAATAAAATGTGGTATATGTATACCATGGAGTACTACTCAGCTTCAAGAAACAACGGTGATATAGCACCTCTTGTATATTCCTGGATAGAGCTGGAACCCCTTCTACTAAGTGAAGTATCTCAAGAATGGAAAAACAAGCACCACATGTACTCACCAGCAAATTGGTACTAACGGATCAACACCTAAGTGGACATATAGGAGTAACATTTATCGGGTGTTGGGAGGGTGGGAGGGGGGAGGAAAGGATGGGTATATACAACCACAACGAGTAAGATGTGCAACGTTTGGGGGATGGACACGCTTGAAGCTCTTGCTCAAGGGGGGAGTGGAGGCATGGGCAATATATGTAACCTTAACACTTGTACCCCCATAATACACTAAAAAAAAAATTCTGAATTTGAGGGAAAAACCCAGACAAGATCTCATAGGATTATTATTGCCTTTTCAGCTCCCAGTAATTCTTATACAATGATAATTTGCAGTAGTTTTCTTCAGGTATTTTTATGTGCTTGTGTGTGTTTTTTTGTGATTTGAATTTGTCTTTTGAACATACAGCTCCCAGACTAACTTAAATTAATATCTACCTTCTGGAAAAGTATGAGCAAACAGATATTAATTTATTGAAGAAAAATAATTAGAATCTGATACTTATTAAAGTATTATCTGTATTAAAGTCACAACTTTTAGTATGCCAAGTGATTTCACAACTTATGTTTGTAATAAATCCCTATTCCTTGGCCATAGAGATAGACATATTCAAGAAAAGTCAATTAGATTCTCTATACCAATAATTTGTATCTTGAACAGAGATACCCAAAGTGGGTGATTGTTATTGGCTGAGTTGAATGGAAGAGCAAAATGGGGGCCACCACTGTTGCCTTCGAAGCTTATTCAGCATTTCCTTTGATGCTATGAGTTACTTTAATTTCATTCAAAAATAATCTCTTTTTATATAAGTAAATCCATTATGAATATTGGCTGAATGAATGATGGAGTGAAAATTAAGGCTGTGTCATAATAAAAGTATATGTTGATAGAGACCATGAGCCTCAGTTTATGTTTTCTGGGCTTTGTGTGGGTTAGTGTTCACTATATAACCAGCCACCACAAGCTTGGTGGCTTAAAAACTTTATTAATTGCTCACCAGTGTGTGAGTTGCTGGGGATCTCTTTTGGATTGGCTGGGCAAGTTGGGTGGCTTAGGATGGTCTCACTCACAAGCCTGGTGGTTGGCATGCTGGATCTACCTAGGACTTCATCACATGGCAGCCTCAGTGCTCAAGCACTTTGCAAGTTGTTGCTTGCATCACATGTATTTTTATCTCATTATATTTACTTTAACCTCATCAGCCAAAGCAAATCACTTGGCCAAATCAAGAATCAGTGTGTGAGGAAACTACTCAAGGGCCTGAATATGGGAAATGTGAACAAATTGGGTGCATATTACTGTAGAAATTTACCAAGTGCTTAGAAATATGAGCAAGGATTGCCTTTAGACTCCTCTACCTTTCTAGCTCCTTAAAACCCAAAACAAAGAAAAATCCTGTAATTCTTTTTTAAAACAGTTCATTTTATTTTTTCCTCTTTCTTTGGGAGAAGGACATATATCAAAAAAGTTTATTTTTTTAAAAAAACAATCTCTCTTAGGGACTAAAAATGAATGTTTCACTTCATGACACCTTGAGTAACAGGTAAGTGTCAATTAACATTATAAGCATGATAATTACAATGCAGGAGAAAAAAAGTGACAAATATCTATTTAAAAACATTTATTATTTATTGTATTTAGATTTGGGAATAAAAGTGAATAGAGAAAAGCTTTTGCCTTTATGGAATCTAATCTTTACCAATACTGTGTGATATAACAGGGATAAACATTGTGAACATTCGTCCCAGTCAGGGAAAACTTCCTGGAGAAAGTGATTTTTAAGATAAGTCCTGAATGGTGATTAGGAGTTAGGTGAAGGACAGGGTTGGGCATATTAAATGTTCTAAACAGAAGGGGCTCCTTGTGCAAAAAATACAAGGAAGGACAGCATGGTTTGTTGTTTGTAGAAACAGATTAAGGAATTTACAGGCCCTATGCACCAAAATATTATAGTGCTGTCCCATTTGAAATTCAAAATAAAAATAATGCTTAACTATAAAATATATGTAGAAACGTCCTTGTGTTTTTTTCTCATCATGTTATCATTATTTAAAAAAAATACTAAATATTCTAAAAAATTTATTCATGCTCCTGTTTTGATGGTCATACCACCAGTGTTTGTCTACTGTATAGTGCAGTCCTGTTTGGGGAACTGCAAATAGTTGGTTTGGCACCATTGTAGAGTGTGAAACATGGACAGTGAGAGATGATGCTGAAGAGCTAGACAGTTTATCAATCAATGAAAGATCTAGGAAAGCATCTGGTTAAGGATGTGGTGTTTGTTGATTACTGACATGAGTTCAATCTTTGTTATTTACTCACTGTACATGCTTGGACAACTCAAAGCCCTAATTTGCTGAGCTATAAAATGGGAATGCTAAATTGTGAGGATTAACATTGTAAATGTAAAGCACTTAACACAGTGCTTAATACCATAAAACACACTTAATTTCAGTTAGGTATTATTAATAAATTTGTACCTCCATCTGGGAAGTGGAGAGCCAATGAAGGGTTTCAGGTAGGTAGTGACATGATCAAAGTGGGCTTTAATAGATTTCTTTGGCAGCAGTGTATAATCTGGGTTGAATGACAATGAGTAGATTCTAGGTGTGCTTAGGAGGAAGATTTAATAAATATTAATGATTGATTCGATAGTGGTCAAAGGAGAAAGATAATACCTAGATTTTTGACTTGAGTAACTAGATGATAGTGGCTTTCTATGTGTTAAGGAAAGGAACAAAATTGGTTAGTGAAGACAAGGAGCTCCATCTTAGACAGATTGACATGAGATGCCTGGAAGATATCCAAGTAAAGACATTTGGGAATTATCAGCATATACATACTGTGTTTCCCCGAAAATAAGACCTACCTGTAAAATAAGCCCTAGCAGGATTTCTAAGCATTTGCGCAATATAAGCCCTACTCCGAAAATAAGACCTAGTGATGGGCATGGCTACACAGTGTGTCTGCACAACCCAGGCATTTTGTGGCAGAGGATAAAGAAGATGAGCAGCCCTTCTCATCTGCCCCATGAGAGCTCTATTGCTTGACATGAGAGATTGAGGCCAATGGTTCTAAAGGAAATAGAGTTGCAAGAAATTCAGGATAGAATTTGGGGTTTGGAGAGTTATGATGATGTTCCAGAAGAATATGACTTAATTATATTTGATAAATGTAGATTGTTGTACCATACTTAAAAAAAAAATACATTCCCTGAAAATAAACCCTAGGGTATCTTCTTGAGGAAAAACAAATATAAGACCCTGTCTTATTTTTGGGGAAACATGGTAGTAGTTGAAATTATAGGAATATAGGTGTGGAATGAGTTGCTTAAAAAAAAAGAAATTATAGGAATAAATAAGATGGCTCAGAGATAATGTTTAGACTGAGAAAGGAAATTTCAAAAAATTTCAAACCACATCAATATTAATGGATAGGAAACATGGTTGAAGTTCAAGACTGAACTTCATGTTCAGTCAAATGTTGGAGTTTCCAGAGAGATCAGAGGGAAAAAAACTGAGGAGAGTGTGGCACAATAAAAATTGTTGGAAAAAAAAGTGTTTCAAGTGAAAAAGATGTGAACAGTGTTGTTAAATGTTACAAATGGTCAACACAGGAACGTGGGCATTACATTTATTCAATGTCAGTGACAAGGAGATCACTGATAACCTTGGCAAGAAGTGTTCTGGGAAAATGATGCAGAAAATGTAGTTTGCATTTAATTGGAGTGGTGGGAGGAGAGGAACAGAGACAGTGAGTACAACTCCTGCTTGCCTATTTATAGAGAAAAGAGTAGTAGCTGAAAGCAGACCTGCAGTTGATAGAGAGTTGAAGAGTTCTTTTGTTTATTTTTAAGATAGACACGCAACTTCTATCATTTTGAAAAGATCAAGACCATCAACACTCTAGTCCAAACTTCCAATATCTCATGTGGATGGACCATTACACAATATTCTCCTAATTGTCTTTCCTTCTTCTACAACTTCCCATAGTGTGTCTCCCTGCCATTCCCCCTCATATATTCACCACACAAATCTAATTACGGCCTTACCTTACTCATGTAAACCAGTTGTGGCAGGTTGTTCCTTCCTGAACTAGAATGGGTGTACCTCTCAGTATTCTCTGGTGAGAGAGATCAGAGAAGCTATGGGGCCTTACACTGCTGGTGAGCATTTACCTCCATCCAGGAATTCACCTGCTGGTGAATATTCATCCTTACTTAATAACTCACAAAAGGCACAGTGGTGGCCCCCATTTTGCTCTCAGTGTTGGCTAGACCAGTGCAGGTATTCCTCCCTCCATGAGTCCTACCTATGAACTTCCCAAACTGAACAAATGCGAGTGGTCCTTTCAGCAGCACTTTTATAGAAAGGTTCCAAAACATACCAAAGCAGTACAGAGTAAGAGGACTAGGAGTTATGCTATTAATTCACTGAGCTCTTTATTTTATGTCATATCAGGAGAGGAAAAAGTCCTTACATTTTAGAAAAGCACTGTCAATAAAAATACAATGTAAGCCACATCTGTAATTCTAAGTCTTCTAGTGGCCACACTTTGAAAAGTTAAAAAAAAAATCTACAAAATTAAAAACAGATGAAATTGATTTTATTAACATACTTTAGCCCAATGTGCAATTAATATAAAAAGTATTGAGATATTTTACTTTTTTGTTATTGTTAACTAAGTCTTTGAAATTTGATGCATATTTTACATTTACTGTACACCACAATTCAAACTAGCCACTATTGTAAGTGCTCAATAGCTACACATTACTAGTGACTATGATGGTATTGGACAGTATGGTTTTTTAAAAAAAATTCAGTGGAATGTTTATTAGCCATTTATTATGAAAAGACCTTGGGAGGGATGCTGCTTCCACAGCCAGGAGTGGTCGAGCTGATGCTGCGTAGTGGACTCAATTCTTCCCTCCCTCTGATGCATCGTTCTGGGAAGGAAAGATCAAACCCTGTGTGTGTTGGTGGTTACATGAATGCAAGTTTTGAGCTCATCCCTAAACTTTGGCTCACGCTGCATGGTAGATTACTACATAACTCACTTATATTTGCTGCTCCTCCCTGCTCTACCCTATTTTTAATCCAGCTTGGTCACATGACTTCATCTGGCCAATGAAACGTGGAGAGAGTAATGATGTGTTCCATTTCTGAGTAGAAAACTGTAGGAGCCAGTACATGGTTTGTCATGATCTTGTCTCTTGTCTCTGCCATTATGACTAACAATGTCCCAAATAGACAGAGGCTGCTCTATCAGCCTGGGACCTGGAGGGAAGACATGAGGAGCAGAGATGCAGCTAACCTGTACTGAACATACAGTGTGTGAGAGTAAAGAACCCTTGTTGTTGTCCATTACTACAGCCAAACCCAGCTTTTTCCTGATTTATGCACTATTGCTTCTGGGTGATGGAGAGTTTTTTGTTTTTGTCTGGAGGATGTGACAGTGTAGCTTTAAAACTTTAGAGTGTGTCTCCTGAGGGCATTTAATAGTGCTTGATGTCTGTTATCCCAATGTTATGGATTGTTTTTCTGGCTCAGGTTCTGACCCCCAATAAGAAGGGTCTTGAATTTCAAAAGCCCTAATTAAGTTTCCACATCATTACCTTTGTAACAGACAGTTTTGTCCTTAGGCTATTAAGGAACCAAGAACAACATGCAGTGAATCTTCTTCAAAAGATCCCTTCCCACACTTCAATTAGAAAATAAGAGAGGGAAGAGGAGGATAGGGTACAAGAAGTCCCCCCCCCCCCGATTTTTGGCTTACAGGACAGAGACACGGCTGTAATAAATATCTGTTGAATAAAAGGGAATGAAATGAAATGACAGAGTACCTACAGGGGTCTCTAGAGAATATATGCATATAAGCATGTATATAAATCTACTTCTCATGGAATCCCAAGGTGGAAGTTTGTGAATCTGCTTTCTCTTGGCATGGTTTTCTTCAAGTATTTATCCTTACATTGCTAATGGAATGCCATATGTAATATGACAGATGAGTAACCCCAAGATTCTTGACTCTCAGTCTGAGCTGTCTGAGCTATCAGACTCCCACTCAGATTATGCATTTTATTCTCCAGTGTTCATTCATTCAACAAATATATATTGAGAAATTACTGTGTGCTATATACTCCTCTAGGCAAGTGAGATACAGTTGTAAATAAGACAGGCAAAGTCTCTGCTCTCATGGAACTTACATTTTTCCAGTCTGTTAGGCCTTCCCAGATATCTTTGGTTACTGGGTCTTCCTGCCTTAATAGATTTTTTTAAAAATGTTTTTTATTATGAAAAATTTCAAATATATACAAAAACTGAAAGAAGTATAATCTTCTCCTATCATCTAATTTTAACCATAATCAACTCATGGCCAATCTTGTTTCATTGATATTATACTCTCTCCTCTTACCCCATTTCAAATTATTTTGACAGCATAACCATCGCATCATTTCACTGACAGATGGTTTTTAATAATATTACACATATTTTTTCCTCTGGATGCTCAGATTTACATGTTTCTTTCATCATTTGTGGCAGTTTGTTTAGGAGACTTTGTAAGTGGGCATGTGGATATATACGAATATGCAATGTATGTATATATATGTATATATCCTTTTAATGTTATGATTATTACCTGTCATAACCATATCCATAAATGATAGTTTTACAGCACCTCTGATCTGGAGATGGAGTCATTATAATTAACTATGTGTATAAACAGAGTAACCACAGAAGAGGTGGTGATTGTCCCTCAAACCATTTTATACCAGAAGTGCTCTGGTTCTATTGAGGGCGTATGATATTAATAGTATGTCTCTGATTCCAGTTTACAACAGCAGTAATTGTTAAAGTGTTTCCTCTTGAATTACCAAAGGATATACTTCATCACAGCAAGCATTATTTTTATTTGAAAGTAATCAGTGCTTAGTCTCAGATAAGAAAACTATATTCCCTTATTAATATGGCCTTTCTTTTTTTTTTTTTTTTGAGACAGAGTCTCGCTTTGTTGCCCAGGCTAGAATGAGTGCCATGGCGTCAGCCTAGCTCACAGCAACCTCAAACTCCTGGGCTCAAGCAATCCTGCTGCCTCAGCTTCCCAAGTAGCTGGGACTACAGGCATATGCCACCATGCCTGGCTCATGTTTTCTATATATATTAGTTGGCCAATTAATTTCTTTCTATTTATAGTAGAGATGGGTCTCGCTCTTGCTCAGACTGGTTTCGAACTCCTGACCCCGAGGAATCCGCCTGCCTCGGCCTCCCAGATATTAATATGGTCTTAATCTTACTTCTAGGGTAATGAAAAGCCTGGTATTACTATGTTAAAGGACAATTTGCATCCTTTCTGTTTTAATTTAAAAATTGCCAAATTTAATTAAGTTCTCTCTTAAAAGAAGTATGTATGGCTGTGTTCATATTTTTAATTCATCTTGACACCACTGAAAACCTTTCAATGGCTTCCCATTATATTTCAAATAAAATCCAGTACAAAAACCTTAACACGAACCTTTTTATCTCTAACTTGACCTATTGCCACTCCCTACCACCCCCAACGTGATAGCCCCCACTTCTCTGGCCTTTAAGATCTTGTCTCTTCTTTACCTCAGGAACATCCCACAACCTGTTATGTATACTGGCATGTTCTTGTCTCTACTTTGCTTCACACAGCTAACTTCTGCTCATTATTCACTTTTCTTAACCATTTAGATATCATATTCTTAGAGAAGCCATCCTTGAGCCTTTACAATCTAAATTGCTATAATGGTTAATATTTCCCTTTTTTATAATACCTATGATAATTTCATTTTCTTTCATAATACTTATCATAATAATAATTTTTCCCTACATGATTATCTATTAAATGTCCTCTTCTCCACTAGGCCATAAGCTCCATAGGGCATATGCCATGCCTTTTGGTCTACCACTGTGTTCTCAACAAATAGCAGTACATCTGAAACACAAGCAAGCAGAACTCCAGTAAACATCTGTTGAACAAATGGATTAGAAAAACTCAGCAGAGTACAAGATTTGAAAATAAGAAGTAAAGGAAGTAACTGATGTAACAAGGTATCCAAGGAGGCCAGAGGGGATTAAATTCAAAGCATTAGATGGAAGATAAAATGTACACATATGTAAAAAGTGAAAAGATAGGTGCTAAATCAGTGATGGCCATAGAAAGTCAAAGGCTTGTTAGAACAGATGTCTTTAGAGAGAACTTATATTTAATTGAGGTGGCCATGGATGGTTTCAAAGAAGTAGTCGGGACAGAAGGGATGGTTAGATTTTATTAATAACTATGATCTTTTAAAAATTTACAAAAATAGAATTGGATAATTAAATTTGTGTTTTAGGTTGGGTTCTCTGAGGAGAGGACATTGAGATGGAGTTAGAAGTACAAAAAGTTACTGGAGAGTAGCACCTATGAAAGGAAAAGGAAGGAAGCAGGATCTGGTGGGGGAGCCATTAGATTATCACATAGGTCTGACAATGCTTTTGCCATCCCAACATCAAGCAGGTTCTTATATAACACTATACCTTGCTCAGTCTTTGGCTGAGGATCTATACTGGGGAGAGAGGTTACCCAGAGAACAGTATAACTTCAGCTTAAAAGCTGAGGTGAACCTAGAAGGAGTTAACAACTGGAGGCTGTCAGCTGACTATATGCCTTGCAGATGGGCAGTAAGTCTTTTCTTGAAGGAAGGTCTGTGACTGCCGTACATTGTAGGATGTCAGTTCAATCCAAATGAAACTATAACATCAATGAAGAATATTTTTGACAAGTTAATGTTGATCAAAGTATTTGGAAGACTAAAGGTTCACATTTAGCCAAGTTAATTTGAAAAAGAAGAGCAAAGAGGATAGATTTGCCCTATGGTGCATTAAGATATTCTATAATACAATGGTAAATAAAAACAATGTAGTACTGGTGTAGTCAGAGACAAATTGATCAACTGAAAAAGAGGTTAGAACCATTATAAATGGAAACACAAAGATAGACAAGTGGCATCAAAAACCAATAGGAAGGGATAGACTGAGTAGAATTATAGAAAAAAATAGGCTAGATCTTCTCCTTACACCATATACATAGGGATGTATTCCAGACAGAATACAGACCTAAATGTGATTTTATGGAGAGAGTTATGAACTGTAAAAGAAATAGAATACAGTATACTTTTGTGATCTTGAAATACAGACTAAGTTTTTAAACAAGAACCCTAAAGCACTATTAAGAGTAATAATATTGTATCCACCAGCTAGGAGAGAGAGAATCTGAGGAAGAATCTGAGGAGGAGTTAAACACACTATAGAGAATACTCCTGGGATCAGGGTAGCTAAAAGATGGAGGCAACTAATGGTAACAAACCATAAAGAGACATAGGTCTGTAGAATACATATTATTATATTGCCTATCCAAAATATTTTCTTCCTATTTAAAATGAAGCACATATCCTTCAATAAACATTTTTAAGTTCTAGACACTGTGCTAAGTGCAGGAAGTAGAAAGAGGAATAAGCTTGAGGCCCAGTCCTTAGAGAGCTCATAATCAGGGTTGAATGAAAGATTTGAAAGATCAGAAAACTAAATAAAATGTTTTAACTCCTACTCCACAGGTAGGAAGAGATATGAGAAAACTGGAGTGGAGTGGAGAAGTGGAGTAAATAAATATTTTAACTCTTATTCTATAGGTGGGGACCTATAACTTAGGGTATCATTGAGGAACTGGCATTTGATCAATGATGAAAGCCGTTCTGGAAAAAGAAACAGCACTAACAAAGTCACAGAGCCTTGAAAGAACAGTATGTGTTAGAGAATATTAAGTAGACAACCTAATACTGGACATTCCAAAATGTTCATGTTACTGAATAGAGAAAGTAGTCTATGGCAGTTATTTTAGTCTTCTCTTACTGGCATTGATGATCACATTAACTAACTGTTACCTTTGAAGGCAGGGCCAAACAAGATTAAGCAATGAAGTGATGAAGAATAAATGTTAATAAGGTTAAGGAAGAGAAGCATGCTAGGAAGCAACAATGACTAACTCGAGTGATAACATTGTACCATGGATTTAGTGGAGGAAGAGATCTCTATCAGCTACAGTGCTCAGGAAAGATTTCACATACGTGGTAGTGCTTCATTTGGTCATTCAAAAATATATAGTTATCCTTATTATTTGCTGATTCTATATTTGTGAGTTTGCCTGCTCACTACAATTAGTGTAGTGTAGCTCACTACAATTCATCTGTAACCCTAAAATCAATACTTGCAGTGCTTTTTCAGTCATTTGTATACATAAACAAAGAGGGAAAAAAATTGAGTCACCTGATGCACATGCTCCTAGCTGAGGTTGAACAAAGGGATGCTCTGCCTTCTTGTTTCAGCTCTCACTTTGAAACAAGTATCCTTTTCATGGTCTATTTAGTATCATATTGCTTACATTTTTGAACTTTTTTGTTGCTTTCACTATTTAAAATGCCCCCCCCATGTAGTACTCTAGTGCTGTCTAGTTCTCTAAGAAAGCTCTTTCTTCTTCTGTATTTTACAGAGAAAATACATGCATTACATACGCTTTATTCAGGCATGAGTTATGGTGTCACTGACCATGAGTTTGATGTTAATGAATCAACAGTATATATTAAATAAAGTGTCTTTAAACAGAAACACACATAAAACAAGATGATTTATAATTGGCTCACAAAAATGTTGTGACTAGAGGCTTACAGAAACCTAATCCTGTATTTCCCCTAGAAGCAATGGTTCCATATTCACTAATTCAGCATTTGTGGTTGTTTTATAGAACATAACTACTGTGAATAAGGAGAATTGATTGTATATATCACGGGTTGTTCTTAAAGCAGGGAATTCAAAGCTATAGTCTACTAAGGAACAGATAATCAGGTAATTGCAAAAACAAAACAATGAGTGCTATAATAGAAGATAGGACAGGCTGATGTGAGAAAATCTCAGAGGGACTCTTGCTTTAGAGCAGGGAGGCCAGGAATGGATTTTCAAAGGTGATGTTGTATGCACTAAATTTTAATGGATAAGTAGGAATCTATAAAATGAAAGGAAGGGGCAACACATTTGCAATGGCTGTTTAGTGAGAGAACACGTTTCTTTCAGGGAACTGAAAATAGCTCAGGACAGCTGCAGCAAAGACTGAAATAAGTTTCTAGGCAAATAAGAAGGTGTCTAATCTATGAAAGGCCTTTTATAGGATATTAAAGAATCTCTTTTTTATCCTCAAGATAATGTGAAAGTTGAAGATTTTTAGAAAGAAAGTGACATGATTAGATCCAAGTTTTAGAATTATTGCTATTAAAGGCAATGATAATGAATGTAACTGAAGATGAACTGATATGGGGGCAGTGTAAAGAGGTAGAGATTAAAAGGCTGATTGCTATTAGTTGGGAAAAGTAAGAGAAGACTTTAAACATGACAGTAGCAGTAGCAAGGTTTGAGTAGTCAGAGAAAGTGGAGGTGTTCTCTGTGGGAAATGTGAACAAATGTTTGGAGAAAGGGAGGGTGAGCAAATCAGTTTACGTGGAGTAAGTAGTATTTGACAGAAACTCTGGAAGGCTGAAACAGAGAGCCAGAGTTATGGAACAGTTGGTGATAAGGTTGAAAATATTGGCGGAGTCATCCTGTGGCAAGGCTACAACAAATAGGTTAAACAATTATAATTTTAAATTCCAGCAATATTAAATTTGTAACTAATTTTTATTGTAAAATACATATAACATAAAATTTACCATTTTAATCATTTTTAAACATATGGTTCAGTGGCATTAAGTACATTCACATTGTTGTGCAACCCTCACCACCCATCTCCAGAACTTTCATCCTCCCAAACTGAAACTCTATACTCACTGAAAAATAACTCATTTCCCATTATCCCCAGGCCTCTCTCCACCTCTACTCCTGGCAACCACCATTTTACTTTCTGTATCTCGGAAATTAGTTATTCTGTTAATAGAGATCTCATATAAGTGAAATCATAATATTTGTCCTTCTGTGTCTAGCTTATTTCACTTAGCTAAATCACTTTAATAAACACCCTGGTTATTCAGTAGCTGGATTCTAATTTGCATCCTACTATATAAGCTATATTTTAAAACAAATGTCTAGCTTCGTACTTGATAATCTTTCCACTTAATGCTTAAGGACACTTCACTCTAGCAAATTATAAACTCATAGTTCATAAGGACAATTTAGTCTCCTACAGTGTCTCTCATAAAGAGCTTTCATTAGTCTACTTACTGTAAGTGTCTTTAGACTGTGAATTATTTTCATTTCTCTATCGTTAATGGACCCTAAGACCCTTTGCAAAATTCCACCTGGTACCTAAATAGAACTCAGGCAGGAATCAAACTTATTTCATCACCCAGGAGAAAGGAAATTTGTTTATTGGGATGCTCTCTTCTTTGATACTATGTGATCTCCCTGAGACAGGGCCGAATCTGCTCTAAATAAAAAGAATTTTAAAAACAACAAAACTTTTCTTATCTTTACCTGGGAAAAAGTTCGAAAGTTTCATATGATTGGAAACTACTCGAGAGATGTCAAGTTTACCTTAACCATTCTCTTGGGGCATCCCTAAATCATTAGGGCTCTGCTTAATGAGTTGAGTAATTTTGGACATGACACTAATTCTCTGGAGGTCTCCGTGGGTTTGATTAGACCACATCACAGCACACACCGAATATGATATTGGTGGGGCACTGAGGTAAACTGAGGCGGCAGCACAGTGCGGGACATCGAACCCACCGGCCACGCTGAGTCCGGCACACCAGTGTGGACTCTCTCAATGAGCTATCTGTTCCGCAGGTTCGTTCCAGCTGACACGCCACGGCTTCTTACCCGGGAGGGCCTGGGACTACCGCTGTTTCTCAAGCCTTTCCCTCCTGGTAGAAAAGAAGTCGTCATTCATTAAGACAACCAGAGCGGGAAAAGGCGCTAAGACCCCAAGCCACGTTAATACGCAAACACCGAACTACCACACTTAACCGCCCCGCTCTCCGTCGATCTTACGTCCCTTCCCAGCAGGCTCAGGGAGTCACCGCGAGACTTCATCAATTCTCGCGAGATTTATCGGCAGCCATCTTCTTGGGGGTGCTGGGAGCCGGGAAGACCCCCTGAATCGTTCCCATTGAGCTGCCCTTCTTCTTCGCTTTCTTTACTTTTGCCTCTTGTGCGTTGCCAACAAGCACCTAGTTCCGAGGCTGAGGGAAGGCCTGGGTCTAAGCGCGTGTCGCGCTTCCGGTCCGGGCAGATTTGCTGAGGAACGGAGAAGGGGGAGGGCCCGGGCAAACCGTTGCTGCCTCAGCCCGGGCCGGGGGCCAGGGAGGGGGAGCTCCTGGCACCCCGCGGACTCGCGGCCTGCGGCGGTCCCCGCAGAGCTGTTCGCCGATCCGGGCTCGCGGGAACCTGCCACCGGCGCCTCCCACCGCGGCCCACGCGGGCGGCGCGCGGAGGAGGGGGCGGGGGCAGCGGCGGCTGTAGCGGCCACGACCTGGGCGGGCGGAGTGTGACGGGCCTCGGGGCCGCTGTGGATGGTTTCTAAAATGATCATTGAAAACTTCGAGGCACTCAAGTCCTGGCTCAGCAAGACTCTCGAGCCCATGTGAGTATTCGGGGGATATCTCGTTGCAGGGGTGGCAGTGGGAGATAGGTGGACCCACAGACCTGTGCAGTTTCCCCGAGTGCCTGCAGTGGAGGCCGAAACGGTGAACGGAGGTCCCAGGGCTGTCTGCATTTTCTCTTCACTCACCCTCGGTTCCAGGTTCAAGATACCCCCGAGAGCCTGAGCCGAGCTTTATTTTGTCGCTGAGCTGGTCTTCGAACTAGTGCCTCCTGCTCTGGTTTTCCCGTTATATGTAGACCACCCCCAACCTCCCCGCACACACCTATATTTTCTGAGGGCCTCAAAACGGATTTCTTTTAGTGAATCCGAGAAGAACCTCCTGCCTACAGACTCTTTTACCTTGTTTTTTTTTTTTTTTTTTTTTTTTTTTTAAATGAAGTGAACGGCATTAATTAGGTACTAAGGCAGTTCTACTTACAGTCACTCACGTTTCACCTAAATAGAATGCCTGAAAGAAAGGCCACGTCTCCCATGTGCTATTTGGCTCATCTGCACCTGTCTTAACTGATTGAAGACGTAACAGGTGCTGAGGTGCCCAGTAAAATTCCCTTTTCCCGCCTACACGTTCGTTCAGTCTTCCTCCATATGGAATATTTAGCAGTTTTAAAGTAGGATGCTATAGATGGACGGGGTGGGGGGGTGGTTAGAGTGCTGAAATGTCTTAAATTGGAAAATTTAAGGATTTATTTATTAATAGAAATGTAGAATGGGCTAAGTGCTTTATCAGAATTGGTTCCTGTACATTAAACAACTTAAAATGCAGTGTGAAAAATTCATTTAACAACTTATTAAGCACCTACTATGTACTGTGGAAGGCCTTGAGGCTAGAGCTTTTAAATTTTAAAGTTGACATGACAAGTAAATACAATCTTTTCAGTTATTGATAGAGCTATGGCCATTGTAATACTGATAGTAACCATGTAAAAGAGTGATTAGAGTCGAGGCTACATCACATCATATGGTCAAGGAAGGCCTCTCAGAGTAGGTGACATTTGAGTAACACCAAAGGAGGAGAAGGAACCATCTGTGTTAAAGTTCTGGAAAAGAATGTTCTTTGTAGAAGGAAGAGCAAGTGCAAAGGCCCTGTAGGAGAAATGATTATGGTGTGTTCTAGGAAGAGAAAGAAGGCCATTGTGGCTACAAGGAGCCTTGTGATGGGGGAGAGAATGGAAAAACATGAAGTTGGACAAGTAGAGAGGAGCCAAATCATGTATGGGATGAAATTAGATGATTTAAAGCAGACAAGGACAGATATGATTTTGTTGTAACTCTACCTGTTTTGTGGAGACTAAGAGGGCAAGAACAGATGCAAGGAGACTATTCTGAAGGGTATTGTAGGCAGAGATTTAGGTAGTTTGCAGTAGAGTGATAGTGAAGACAGAAAGAACCAAATATTTTTTGTAAGTGGATCTCGTAGAACTTGCTGATGGATTGAATATGGGAGATGAAGGAAAGGGAAGTCAAGGATGATGCCTAAGAGTTAACCTAAGCAACTTGAGGGGTTATGGTGGAGAGTCTGGGACACAACAGGTGTAGTGGAGAAGGGAAAGGTGATTGGTTTTGATCATTAAGTATGAAGTTTGTTATGCCACCTGAGGTGTCAGATAGGTAGCTGGTTATATGAGTCTAGAACTCAGGCCTGTATGAGAGATATTTGGAGACATGGAAATAGTATTTAAAGCTTTGGAATCGTAGGAGATATTCTAGGAAGAATGTGTAGATAGGGAAGAGAAGAAGGCCTAGGACAGAGGTAGGAGGAAAACTGGGCTATATGTCATTGAAGTGAGAAAGAAATGTATAAGAAAAGAGAGGAGTTGGCTAACTTTATGTGATGCTGCAGGATGGATGGAAAAAAGGCTAAATAGCCCTTAGATTTGGCAAGGTGGAGGTCATTGGTAACCTTACCAACATAGTTTCACTAGGGTGGAATGGTGCTAATGGAAGCCCTGTTGCAGTGTATTTAGAGAGTGGGCAGCATAGTACAGGTGTTGAGAGGGAGAACTCCTAGAATGGCTAGCTTTCAATTCTACCTCTACCAGCTGTATAAGTTACTTAGTGCTTCCATTTTCTTAAGAGTAAAATGGGGAAAAATGAATATCTAGTAAGCAAGTCTTCAAACGCTGCCTGGTGTGTAATTAGCATTCAAAATAAATATTAGGTGAACAGAAAACTTCTAAAGCATGTTTTGGGTTGAAATAGCTTTTTTTTATTTAAGCAGTTTCATATCAGATTTACTGCCATTTTTTTTCCCTCCACTAAACCTAAAGAGAAGGCTATAGCTGCTCAGAGTATATGCTTATAATTTTTTTTTTAGTTTTAATAAAAAAATATTCCAAATATAATAGAGCCTTCTCACATGGTTGTAGCAGTGCAGTCATTACTGTTGTAATAAATAAGGCACTGCTAGTAGAGCCTAGACAGAGGTAGGAATTGTGATTGATCCTTTTCTAATGTACATAGCTGTGGTGAAATTGAGCCCTTATCCAAGTTCCTGTCCCTTTAATTGCTTTTTAGGTGGATTCTTTTAGATGATGATTATAAAAGCTGATCCCAATTACTTAAGACAGTGATTTCTAACCTTGGTTTTGTGAAACTAAAGATCTGTTATCTAAAGGGATTTTTGTTTTACTTTAACATTGTAATTGAGAGAGGAACATGTAAAGGACCAAGGGTAAAGATTTAACTTGAAGCTTATATAGAATTTTTTGGCTATTTGTGCTAGTAAAATACCACCCAGGTTTGGACTTATGATGCATTTTGAATGTATTTATTCAGCAAACTTATTGGGTACTTAAAATACTCTGTGCTGACCAATGTGCTAGGTAGTAGGGAAATAGTGGGAAACATGACATGAAATGACTGTCTTCATTTTGTTTACCATTTAGCAGGGAAGACAGATGTTGAACAGGTCATTATAAGACTAATGGGTGTTATAAAGAAGTCCAGAATGCTGTCAAAATATATATCTTGGGAGGTCAGGAAAGGATTCCCTGTTACTATAACATTTATTTCAGCGGGGAAGGATGAAGAACAGTTTGCTGGGGCAGAGGTTGGGAATGGAGACCTGTGAAAGCATTCTACTTGATTATAAGTTCTGTAGGTGTATCAGGGTTCCGAGTTTCCTTTTTCATAAATTATTGAAAATGTAGGTATTAAAATTGCTATCTAGAAGTACGTAGGACTGATATTTTGTTATCATAAACATTTGCTTAGTCATACTTGCTGCTGCTAATAATAATAATAAATTAGATGTTGGTCTTCTAACATTTCATTTCTTTTTGGTAATGTGAAGTCCTGGAAAAAACTTAAGTTCTTTTGTTGTTGTAGGTCAATTTTTTTTAAACAAAAAGTTTTCTATATTTTAACACTTTTTTGTGAGCTTACATATCACTTAATGTAGTAATTTAATAAAGTCATGAACTTTTTAAATCTGAAGAGATACCTCAAGATCTAATCAAGCCCTTCAATTTTTTAGAAAATAAAATTGAGAGCTAGAACTAATGACTTGCTCAGATTTTGTGAGTTTAGTAGTAAAGAACAGGATGCCTGGTTTTGTACTTCTGCTACTATGTAGTGCTGTGGAGGTAGTGTTGTATAGTGGAGAGAAAATAAGCTTTGTGTTCTCATAGATCAGTTGTTTAAATTTTAGTTCTGTCATCTATTAGGTGAATGATTTAGACAAATGAACTTCCCCTTTCCTAATTGGTTTAATAGGGAGAATTATACTGTTTCCGTATGTAATTAAAAGGGTTGAATAAGATACGTATTTAAGCGCCTCACTCTTCTCTCCTTCCTTGAATACTGGTTGATTAAAACACAAACAGATTACTAGTATTGCTACTATTACTATTTTCACCACTACTACTGTTACCACTACCACTTCACACTTGTATGCATTGTTAAGCATTTTGTATTACTATACTTCTAAGTTTTATGAGATAAGCATGATTTATTTCCATTTTGCAGGTGGTGACACTGACACAGAGAAGCATGAAATTAAGATACTTGCCCACAGTGATTTAAACTCAAGCTTTTTGATTCTTGATTCATGTATTTTTTTAATTTACTACTACACAATGCAGTATTGTAGTATTTTCTTTCCTATTACTGTATATACTTTTACTATTACATTTTCATAGTAGTAGCTACTATTGTTGTAAAGGAACAAAAGTTCTAAGGCATCGTGGTTATCTGTGCTTTACACAGTTTAAGAAAGAA